CGCCCGGCCGGGTCCAGTGCGCCGCGGGGAAGCACAGAGGTAGCTCTCGCACGGCGCCGCCGCCGCCGCCGCCGCCGGCCGCCGCTGCCACAGGAAATGGCCCTGGGGTGGGGTCTTTTGTGTGGTCCCTAGGGGTGTCTCGGGAGTTCCCGGGTGCACCGGGCCCACCGGGGAGGCCCGCCCTACTGGGCGATGCCAGGCACGGGGTCTCGGGTCTCTGGCAGCAGGATCTGCTGGCGCTCGGAGATCGGGGATCTGATGCCAGCCCGTCCCAGAGGCCCCCCACCCCTTACCCAGAGCCTGCAGGCTCGTGGGCCTCTGCAAGAGCTGGGCCAGGTCCCCCCGGGGCGCTGGACCCAGTCGCTAAATCCTCCCTGCTCCCCCGTTTGCCTTTCCAGGTGGAAGGCCAGCGTCAAATCAGAGGTGGTGCAGGCTCCAGCTGCTGGACTAAGAGCTGTCGGAGAGAATGCCCCAGATTCGGCCGGCCCCGAGGTGGGCGCCCCACCCTCTTCGAGGGAACCACCACTAAGTGCCCAGGAGCTGACCTCAGAGAGGTTACAGGTGTGAACTGCAGTCCAGAGCTCAGCAGTCCTAAGGAGATTGGCCAGGAAGGTGTAGGCATCTGGATTCTTCCGCAGTGAAGAATTCTTGCCGTTTCAGTCCAGAAACAGTCCAACGCGGCAGAAAATATCGTTGCTAGAAATCCAGACTGACCTTCATTCCAACAGAAAGTCTACCCAGCATTTATGTCAACAACCCTTCCCCCTGAAAGATCAGTTCGTGACTTTTAGCCCAGATGACCAACGCTATCACAGGCGGCAACAGGACTGAAACACGAACCACCACGGAGGATAGCTTAGCCGGACAGTTTGGCGCACATAACCACACATCCATCCAAGACGGCACTACGGACATCCATACCTGCTACAGCTCCATCTATAAAATGGGAAGGACTCACTGTGAGGTTTTCTCAAAACCGCTGCCAAGTCAGATGACCAACGTGTGGGCATCCAACTGTTCCCTCTCATCTAGGCCAGGACCTCCACAGTGGGGTACAGGAGGGACTGGCCAGTGTGTGATGGCCTGGGCTTGCCACGAAGGCAGGGTGTGTGGTGGAGACCTTATAAATGAACACTCAGGAGGCTTCTAGCGGGGCAGTCAGGAGGAAATAAGCGGGATGTCAGTTTTACTGAGTAGATGTTAAGAGTCTCTGAAACGTATACACCCAACCGACACCATAGAAAGACTCCCAGCCAACTTCTTTACTGAACACATCTTCGCTGAATACCCTTCTTCCATTTTGTAGTTTTCACAGTCCAGTCAAGGGCATAAAAAAAAAGTGACCCCCCCCCCCTTACACACTTCCCTCCACCCACAAAGCTGCCCGTGTATGAGCCCTTAGGAGATGCTCCTCCATCCAGGAAGAAACCAGGTAAAGAAATTAGGAGCAGGGTTTTGGGGAAGGATGCTAAGCATGGGTCTGGGTGCAGCTTAGTGGTAGAATGTGCTTGTTCAGGATGCACAGGCCCAATCTTTCCTGCCCAGAAGAAAAAGAAAATGCTTCTCTTTCGCTGTCCCTGAACGAACCCACAAGGTCAGAGACATCCAAACAGCATAATACACCAGTTAAACTACTAAGTAGGATTTCCTCCCTCCTCACAGGTCTCTGTTAAGAATGTGAGCACAAGTCTATTTAGTAGAACTGTCTTTGGGTTGATTTCCTGTGAGGACTTTCAGGAAGACCACTTTTTTTATTTCAATAAGTAGAATGGCCCGGTTCTCTTATCATGGCTCACCAAAGAGAGCTGGAAGGGGGGGGGGGGTAGATGGCCATCAAATGAGAGAGTTAGAAAACCGTTATCTACCATCACCCAGAGAAAGTCCCCGTGCAAGTGCCGCACTGAGCACGCAAGAAAGATCACGATCTCCTTTAAGGTCACAGAACAGTCACGGTTTACCAGCCCACGCAACAACATGCGCCACTTGGAGATGAAGAAGCCGAGGTGAGATCCTGGCGCGTATCTTCCAGTTTAACCCTCAGGAGGTAGAGGCGGGAGGATGTCTGTGAGTTTGAGGCCAGCCTGACCTTACAATAAATAGAGTTCCAGGCCACCCGGGACTATACGGTGAGGCCCTGACTCCAATACAAACAAATAAAAAGACTGGTTTGTCACCATCCAACTGGCATGCTGACTGAAGCAAAGAGGGGAAAAATCCTCTTACTAGAGTTTTGTTTTGAGATGGAGTCTTTTTTTTTTAAACGTGACCTTGGCTCGCATAAGCACTTGTGATGGAGCCCAGCCTGGTTTCAAACACTCAATAATCCTGCTGCCTCGGCCTCTGAAGTTCAAGAATTCCAGGTGTCCATCAACACAACCCAATCCCGCTAGATTTTTATAAATTGTGAATTCTTGGTGTAAGTTCAATACCAAAGAGGGCAGGTGTAGTTAGAAAGCTGCCAGAGTAAATTCCTGTGCTGGGTGCTGGGTTATCGCCTAAATATAAGAAGCCACGTAGGGGATCCTCTCCTGGATCAAGGGGCTTCTTTTCTCTCTCTCTCTCTCTCTCTCTCTCTCTCTCTCTCTCTCTCTCTCTCTCTCTCTCTCTCAAGTTTCCTTGCGCTAACTGGTACAATTAACCAACATCTGTTTTGTGTTGGTAGGGTTCCAGACTGTATACACGGAGACACCATGGCATCCCTTACCCAGCACAATTGACACCTTAAATTGTATTGCTTCCGCGGAGCTTTGGTTGGTCCTTACTTGACCCGGGTCTCGTCGGGAGTGACCCTGAAGAACTGAACCCTCTCCCTGCTCCCCATAGCCAGATCTTCCTTCTGTTCTTAGAAAGTTCCCAAGGCTGATGCCACCCAGGCAGATGGTGCTTGCCCTGAGCCAACAGGAGCCAGAGCTTTTACCTCGTGATGAGTAAACAAAAAAAATAACAAAAACAAAAATACCCGATGCCAAGTCCTCCCTGGTCACAGGAGCCACCCACTTTCTCTCTTTGTCTCTGGGTGTCACTGGATAGTCTACCGGTATCTATTGGATCCTGAGACCTCAGGAATGGCCCTTGGTTCTGCCCAGACTTAGCCTCATCCCGGGGTGGGAAAAAGGCAATGTGCTCTGTGAAAAGGTAAGAAGAAACACATCAAAAGGGGGGGCGGCCATATGTGAACGGAAATATACCCCCGACCTAGCATACAATGCACAAGCAGGACCTGCCCGTCTAAGATTTATAATTGTTCTTTATAAAGTAAGCTGTGGGGCTGGAGAGATGGCTGTTCTTCCAGAGGTCCTGAGTTCAATTCCCAGCAACCACATGGTGCCTCACAACCATCTGTAATGAGATCTGGTGCCCTCTTCTGACCTGAGGTGTATATGCAGACAGAACACTGTATACATAATAAATAAATAAATCTTTTTTTTTTTTTTTTTTTAAGCAAGCTGCGGAAAGGTGTGTGCAGAATATAATGTTTAAATTGAGCTTGGTGGTACACGCCTAGAATCCCAGCCACTTGGGAGGCTGAGGCAAGAAGACGACAAATTCAAGGTCAGCCTTGGCTACATAGTTCAAGAAAAATCTGAGCAAATTAGCAAAAGCTTGTATCAAATTTAAAGGCATAGGTCAACTGGGCATGGTAGATCACACCTTTCAGCCCAGCACTACGAGCAGAGGCAGGTGGATTCCTGTGAGTTTTAGGCCAGCCTGGTCTACCTACCATTCTAGGCCAGCCAGAACTGTATAGTGAGACCCTGTCTCAAATAAATAATTATTTAAAAAAATAAGTAGCATAGTAAAAGACAGAAGGAGAATATGGTGACTCATGCCGATAACCCCATGACCTGGGAGGCTGGGAAGGAAGATTGAGAGCATTTCAGGACAGTATAAGCTATATCGTGAGTTCCAGGCCAGCCTGGGTTACACAAGATCCTATCCCAAGGAACAATAGCTACAAAATAAGGGATGATAATGGAACGATCACCTTCGCCATTCTCACGAGGGTCTGCCCAGCCATCCTATCGTAGACATTTCTGAGATCACACAGCTTTTAGTTCACAGTGCTCTTATGGGCCCGATCTTTCGTTTTACTACATGTATGTGGATTGGTTTGTGCAGGATGGCTAAGCACACACTCTATGAAGGAGCTGTACCCCGGCCCCTCCAGGTTTATGTGTTACCATCTACTCCCAGGGCTATATACCAAAGTCTTATCATCTCCTTTTATACAGTCTTAAGGCTTAATGAAATTGCTTATAGTAAAACCTCAATTAATATTTATGGGTTTGTTTAATAATGAATTGAAGGAGTGAACAGTGAAAAAAATAATAATGCAGAGTGCTCTCTCTCCTGCTATGTGGTTATTTTTCCCCAAAATAGAACCCAGGGTTCTCACTCCTGCCAACCAAGCATTCAACCACTCACCATACTCCAAGCCCTGATGCCCATTCTCAACCATCACCCTCAACTTGCCCACTTCTGGAAATGGGCAGAGGGAAGTCAGACTGGGGATGCATCCACCTTTCACCAGGACTCTGGGTACCGCTAAGGAGGAGGAGGTCCTCGCCAGTGTTAGCCCCTTCTTTGTGTCCATATCCCAAAGGCCATGGATAACGCTTAGGAACATTTTCCACAGACCCAGTACAGGAAAAGAGTACTGAGTCTTCAAGAGGCAGTTGTACTGAGTTGCTGGTACCCCCAGAGCCAATGCACAGCATCTGTGAACATGCCTGTTAGAACAATCAGAAATGGCAGAGCTTGTCCACAAAGGGTCATCCCAATCCAAGGTGCCATTTATGCTTAGCAACAGTAAAGAATGCACGCTTCAGTTGTGTTCCTGCTATTTTACCATTTGCCTCTCTCCAATAATCCTTGCCTCGCTAAATAGTAAAAGCAAAATGTCGTGCTATGTTGCCTGGGCTGGCCCCCAAAACTAATGATCCTTTTGCCTCAGCTAGCCCAGTGCCAGGATTACAGGCCTGTACCACCATGCCGCCCGA